ACAGGCAGTCACCAGGCCAGGCCTGTTTCTGGCCCAGACCCCGGGAACCCCCAGCACGCAGGCGGCCAGCCGCACACCCCACCGGGGGGCCGAGTAGCAGCGGGCCCCCAGATAAACCAGCAGGAGGGGCAGCCCAGACCGCAGCCTGACAAATACCCAAACATACACAATCGCACCATCCCACCCTCATCCTCACCCCCACTCAATCGAAAGCATACAAAAAATTTAGAAAAGTTGTGTGGAGATACATGTGGATAAAATTGTTGGTACCCCTTGTTTAATGAAAGAAAAACCCAAAATGGTCATAGAAATAACTACAATCTGACAAAAAGTAATAATAAATTCAAAAATATATTTGAAAATGAACAAATGAAAGTCAGACATTGCTTTTCAACCATGCTTCAACAGAATTAAAAAAATAAAATAAAATAAATAAAACTCATGAAAGAGGCCTGGACAGAAATGGTGGTACCCTTAACTTAACATTTTGTTGCACAATATTTTGAGGCAATCACTGCAATCAAACAATTCCTGTAACTGTTAATAAGACTTATGCAGCTCTCAGCAGGTATTTTGACCCACTCTTCATGAACAAACTGCTCCAGTTGTCTCAGGTGAACGGTGCCTTTTCCAGATGAGTCGACATTTTTTAGCTCCTTCCAAAGATGCTCAATAGGATTTAGTTCAAGGCTCATAGAAGGCCACTTCAGAATAGTCCACTGTTTTCCTTTTAGCCATTCTTGGGTGTTTTCAGCTGTATTTTGGGTCATTATCCTGTTGCAAGACCCATGACCTGCGAATGAGACCAAGCTTGTAGTTTGGCAAATTTCAGTCTTTCTTTTTAGAGATTTGTTTTCAACAATGGTTTCCTTTCCTTTCCTTTATTGTCTCCCGTTAAGTCCACTCTGGCTCAAACAGTGATGGACAGTGTGATCTGTCACTGATGTTCTTTGCGCGTGAAGTTTGCCTATAATCTCTTTAAAAGTTTTTTCTGGGCTCCTTTGGTACCATTGAAATTATCTATCTCTTTGATTGGGAACATTTTCCCATTTTAGGAACCAGTTTGGTCCAAGCTTATTCGAGTTTGTAGCTGACTCAATGATTGTAAGATGTCCAAATTATCACCCTTTTGTTGTCAAGATTCAAGAGCTGCTTGTGCTCATATGCAGCATTTAGTTTATCCAAAGATGGCACTGTGCAAAATGGATAAGTGTCTCCAATATGGATAAGTGTCTCTATGGTCCTCTTTGTCGAAAAAACTAAAACAAAAACAAAAAAATAAAAATAAAAACAATGTTAATGTACACAAGTGTATCCAGTTGCAAAATTGCAAACCAAAGTAGTATTACCCGGAATTTTAAGAGATGTTTTCTTCTGTAACCCTTCTAAACAAGTTATACGTGTTTAGTCTTTATTTATTATTCTGTCATGAAGCATTTAGCCTGCTAACAGAGGTTTAGAGTCTGAGATGAAGTCTTTGGTCTTTTTCATTGCGAGTATTGCACTGTCTGATCTTGGGGTGAATTTTTGTTTAATAATCAATAACATGGCTGTGATTTCAATAGTTTAGAACCTAATAAAGACCAGATTTTTTCTTATTTTGTCTTGATCTGTTGAACGAAGGAGGCCTTACTTTTTCCTATTACTATATAAAGTCCAAGTCAGAGATCTTGCTAAAGCTTTTTATTTAGGGCAGTAATTGAAATCCTGTGTTTTCAAGACTAATGCCCATAAGTCAACTGCTTGCCTCTTGTGTTTATGTTCAGCCTGATAATTTTCCCTTTGCTCTGCTCTCCCAGGGTAAATCAGAGATAGACGTCTACTTGTGTCCGCACCCACAGGATGTTGTAAATTCCAAAATGCTGTGCAGGGATGGCAGCCTCACGCTGGAGCCACCTTTCACCGAAGACTTCACCTCCCCTTACAGTGTCAACATGAACTTGTTCTTTCCTGATGTCACGCGCCTGCACCCTGGCCTCTCCAGGACTGTGACACAGATCAAAACAGAGCCATTGCACCCCAGCTGCCAGGGAAACGAAGTACCAGCAGCTCTTCCAGAATACTCAGGTGTTTTTAAGGCAGTGGATACTCCCAGTGGTGGCTTTTGCATCAAACAAGAAATGCCAGACCTTCAAGACTTTTCCATGTTTCAGCTTTTGAACACTGATTTGGAGAAGCTTACTCATGGATTGCAGGTGAACCACGTCCCCATGACCCCATTAAGTCTTCCAAACGAAAACAGTTATCCAGGTCCTGATCAAAATTCCGCTAAATCTGCAAACAGCTTGCAGACTGAATGTTTTCTATTTAATCCACACTTGGGCCATGAGTTTAGACCAACATATTGGCCTCCATCTCCGCCAAACTCTGAGCCTTCAAGTCCAGACAGAAGCAAAGAACTGCTTCACCTCTCCCCACCTCCCTCCTATGAAGCCAGCATTGCCTCTAAGTTTCAGACTGCTCGATCCATCAATCCTGGACAAATCATGACTCAGATTCAAGACCAAAACTTCACTGCTGGATTCATTCAAAGCCCAGGTGTGGGAGCGGTCCAGCAGTCCACCCTGGTGCCAGTTCAGATATCACCAGGTGTTGGTTCTTCATCCCCGGTGTTGGCACAGTCAGCTCCAGTCAAGTACAATCGGAGGAATCATCCTGATCTTGAAAAACGGAGGATTCATCACTGTAATGTTCCAGGTGAGACGTGCTGATGAAGAAAAAACTCAAAGTTTATATATATATATAT